GCCGCCCCCCCCCCCCCGCAGTGAGAAGGAGTTCCAGCTTTCTGTGGGCACAGCCATGTAATCCATGGTTAATGCCACAGATCTGGAAGTATCAGACCAGAAAATAGCAAGTGTGTCCTCCTGCCAAGAGCTCGGGGGCCCATGAATGGATCCGCGCCCATTCCTCCCTGTGGGAATGCTTACCACTCTGCACTGATTTATAGAAAAGTGATTTTAGGAATAAATATTTCTATGGGCTTTAATTATCTTGTTGTACAGGGCCCTTAGAGAATCAGTAGCAAAACAATAGTACAGATCTAGCTTTCCAAGGAACATTTTTAAAGAAGCAGAGGCTTGCTTGTTCAAGTTTTACTGAATTTCATGTGTAAATATAGGCACAGAATTAGGTCAGCTTTATTTTGTGTGAGATGTTTGATATTCTGCTGATTTTCTAGAGCTTGGCAGACGTTTCCTTATATGTATTTTATACATAATATATTATCTATATCATATATTTTATATATATGTAATATGAGCATGTGAATGTGTTTTTGGGTGTATTCATACACTTCAGATTTAAAATACACGTGGAATGAGGCAGCAAGATGAGAACGTGAGTGGTTGGACCAGACAAGCTCTGTATTCTGCCTGCAAAGTTCACTTTTGGCTTTATCATCCTCAAGAAGAGTTCAAAGTTGTGCCTGCAAGATCTCTACATCACCATGCACCCATAACTACTCTGCACAGCATGCAAATAGTGACTAGCTCTGAGGGCAATAACGGTGAAATGTCAGCCAACGGGGAAAAGAATAGATCTGTAGTTTCTGGTCAATACTTCTACTGAAGGTATTATTATTACCCAAGAGCATTTTTTTTCCCCAAGCTGCTGACCCTGGACATAGATGCTATTTGTTTTATTATCCTCTTGGATTTTTATGGTGTAAAGTCTTTAAGGATATAAAACTTCAGCCCATAAAAACTTTGGAGGAGAAAACTTTATACGATGAAATCCCTAAGGATTTTTCTGCCTAAGCCTTTATGCACTGAAGTCCATACCTGTGGGTGAATATCTGTCAACGCATCCAGGAAACAGGGATGCCTACAGAACATCATCTGTTGTGCTCTATGCTGTGCAGCTACTCAAGATGCAGTCACACTGTGGAGAAGATTGCAAGGGCTCCAGTGGACTTTCAAGAGAGCCCTTGCAGAGAGGACAGAACAACTGGTTCTTAACATTTGCCTGTGTTTGGGTGTCTTTCCATCTGAAGGGTCCTCTCTGCAATGTCCTTTCTGATACATTAGGGAGGATGTTGCTGTTCTGGCCTCAGAATAGAGGAAGTGTCGTGCTCTTTCATGGGTATGTGGGTAGCAGCTAAATTGATAAAGATGATAATGAAAGATGAGTTTTTGTCCATATCTCGTGAGTGGGCTCTGCAGTGATATCTCATCACATGGTGCTACACTCCAGCCTTCAGTTCCTGCAGAGTTAGAAAAAGTCCTTGAGATGACCTTAAACCATAAGAAAGAGCTCGTCTAGCAATGTACAATAATATAAAGACTAAATTGATGTAAGTCCATTGAATGTGGTGGTTTACCTCAGCAGCGGACAGAATCTATTGCTTTAGTGAAGATGCAAGAACTCACTCAAGAAGAGGCTGCAGAGTAATCTGATGATAGAGAAGATTTCTTTTCATAGTTATGGGACTGAGTCATGCTCTGCTATGTCAGGAGGTTTATATCCCTGTTTCGGGAGTGTGGGGAATCAGAGAAAGTCTGCAGAGAAAACCATCTGGAGACAAAGTGTCTCAAGGAGTATTTATATTGACAGAACTTCTGTTAAAATAGCAGTTAATTTTTTCATGGAACACAAGCGTTCGAAAGGTTTAAGGAATTTACATTGCTATCATGACAATTAAAAAGCTGAAAGAAGTTCCTAAACAACAAACTTTGTTTTGACTGAGGGTTTAAAATATATATTTGACCAAACAGCTCATGCTCTTCTTCTCTGAGCACCTGGATTCTGCAATATCCTTACATTCTACCATATCTAGTAACATTACATTTCACAGACCTTTTAATAAAACTTAAACTTTAGCCTAAACAATCTTATGTTGTCCCTTTAACACCCACTAAAATTCTGTTAAGAGCTCATAGAATGAACAGGTAGATGTACAAGAAACAGAGCTTCCCCATGCCAACTTTTGATGGCAAATGATATAACTACTTCAAGATTTTTATGACGCTCCTGCCATTTTGCCTGCTTAGAGCTGACATAGAAGAAGAAAAATGGCACTGTAGCAGCAAATTCTTCATAACAGTGACAGTAGCTTTCCCTGCTACAGTGCCTAACCTTAATCCCCTTTAACTACAGAAAGGTTTAATTTGGAAAATCCAATTATCTTGACATCTAGAATTAGCCAAAAATTTAGATATCTTTCTAGTGCCTTATCTTGCAGCTGCAGTGCACACACAGACACTGTCTCATTTACAGTACAGCAGG